CTATACTTTTTAGCACGTAGCTATTTATTATTAGCATTGTTCTTCCGATGTCTGATCTCTTTTTAATTATAGGAAATGCGTTTTTCTAAGGTACATAAACTTTTGGGATTGACTGTATAGCCAATACATCCTTAATGGCATCGCGGTACTCGTCCGAAAGAGAAGTTCACTACTTTTGAGAATAAAACGAATGAAATTAGACGAAGATTCAAAGATTGTAACAATACGGATAAGATGTTAGAATGTACATTTAAAAATGTCCTCTAAGTTTTTGTTAAAAGTTGAAGAGTATCGAACGCGGTTCGACGAACGGCGTGCGTCGACAATAATTTGCAACGCGTCAGTTTGACGAACGGTGTCTCCTAATCTCGCTCTCTCTCTTTCTCTCTCTCTCTGCCATCTTCCAGTTTATCGTGGTGCATTGAAAGGTAGCGTTACCAAGCCGCGATCATTTTGCTTACGGTCCCACGTTTCACCTACGACCGTGCCGTATCCTCGTATTTCCGCGCGCAAAAACACACGCCACGGCGCCGCGATTTGAGCGGATTAGTCGCTGCTCGAGTGTTCGATGGGAAAGACTATCGTTCCTCCTCCACGTTAATTCTTTTCGAGTTTTTGACACGTTGTGCATATCAGATATTCGTTGATTGCGTTTTCTTCAAACTCGCATTACGTAGAATGTGTATGTCATAAAATGTATACGAAACGTATGGATCTCGAGAAATTGTGGTTCTGTTTCGAGGATGATTTCAAATTTTGTGTTCGAGTAATTACAGTGTAGACTTTCGAACGTCTATTGAAGAGTGAAATCATGTTTGAGTAAGTTCCAAAGAATCTATAAGCCTTTCAGCTTTCCGTCTACTTCGTCGGATATTAACATTTTCTTGAAACAGAAAATTGCAGTTAGTTCGTTTCTTACATTTATCAGTTGACGAGCGTCATGAGCATAGTTGAGCGCTGGTAATAATGAAATAGCAATGTAACCTCGACGTTCCCTTGGCCGATCCCGCGCACTATTGTGTAGTAGACAGGAGAATAGGACGATCACGCGTGGGCGGGATATTCGGTGCTCGGAACAGTTTCCTGTCGTTTAGCGGCAAGTAAATCACGTAAGTAGCGATGCGCGGAGTCGAGGGCGGGAGTGAGAGAGCCGTAGACGAAATGACGAGCACGAGGAATTTATACGTCGCGGCCCGGTCACGGGCAATTGCGCTGCTCGTCACGGACCAGAATAATGTTGCGATACGTGGCATGTCAAAACACAGTCCCGAATCTCCGTAGGGAACAACACCCAAGGGCCGACCTGGTCCCGAGGTAAAGCAGCCACAGCTATCTGCTATAGCAACTGTCTGGCCTTGCACGTTATTATCGTATAGATTCGTCTAGTCAGCGACTCACAATGCCGTTGCATTGGCAATAAGAGAGGACGAGACGCGAACAATTGCCAGACACGATTGTACTCCAATGCGAACCCGGAAAGCAACTAGTTACTAAAGTTTCGGAGAATCTGTTTGAAATTCTGCATTTGGAAGCTTAGAAGCTTGGAAGGAATTACAATACTTTCGATCTTACAATACTTCGTTCAAACAATAGCACAAATGATAAAAGAATGCTCCTAGAACTGAACATTGTTTCCAGTAGCAACTTAAGATATTCCTCGAAGCAAAATAATTTCATTTGAAGATTTTGGTATCTTGTAACTATTGCTGAATTGAAATTAATGATGAAAGTTGCTGAGAAATTGGATTCGGGAATCGGACACGTGACTGTACGAATTTTTGAGAGCCGGACGTCTGCTCGCCCGATGACGCAGGATTATTTGGCTCGACTTTAGCAATCTTTGGCACACAAAGTAGGCTGAAGTTCAAGGTACAGGATGATCCACTAGACGAAGTTTATTTGCATTGTACAACTTTCAAAAACCCACGCGTCTCGCTCCAAACATAATTTTGGAAAGTACAGCTCGGACAATATAAAGTATTTGTTTAATGGTATAAATTGATTCTACGCTCGAAGGGGAATTTCGAACGGTGAACTGAATTCATTTCCGGCTAGAATTACCATCGTCGCAGCGATTTTTTTGTTAGTACGCGTATATGCGCTCGATTGAAACTCACAGTTCAGCTGTTCGCTGACATCAATGAAATACTATACGTATTTGAATTATATTGCCATTGTAGGAACTCAAATTGCAACTACCGCATACGATAATTTATCCAAGCGAAACGTGTTGTTCGACGACGCTATTCTTCCCTCGAGAAATACTTGAGAATAAAAATGATTAAAAAAATTGGTGATTACGTAAAAATCATCGTGTAGGTTGTAATATTCTCGCGTTGGAAACTGGATTTCATTGAACGTTCCAATTTGCACTACGTGCAAAGGCACGTATTGTTCGACGAAATTAGTTCTCCGTGTCAGATGAATCGAACGTCGATAACGAGCCGGTTGTATTCAACACGATCGTTCGCGAAAAGGAATTAATCACGGTTTCGTTAAAGGAGAAAACTAGCGCCGCTCCGTTTCTTGTTCGTCTCTCTTTTTACGTTACGTCGCTGAGAACTCGTTGCCCCGTGCGGCGTTCGTTTAAGACTTGACCGTGATTAAATTAATAAGTAAATGCCTCGCGTGTCGAATTAATGCATGCGTGGCGCCGTTGAAAAATAAGTCAAAACGCGCGATTAAACTGGACGTACGCGAATTAACGCGCGTCTGCGATAGAAGCGGAGGCGACGCGACGGTGCGGTGTAGCTCGGGTTTTGTTCGAAGAGAGAACACGTAACTGCGACTAATTTTCATTCATGATTTCATTATACGTAGACCCTCGAGGTTAATCGCGTTACTCTGTAGAACAGCTCGCAATTAAATGTCCACATTCGTAAAGAACTTTCTGTTTCAAACGAAATTTCAAAATGACGTGGCTCGATTTTTCTCAGTTTTGAGTAATTAATCGACAATTTAGATTTTTAAAGCACTCGATACGAAAGCCTAATAAATTGTAATTTAGTGGGAGAAATAATTGTCTTAACTCCGTTCAATTTCAGTCATTAGAATGACAGTAGACCGATATGACAAATACATGTTGAGAAAACGAAAGAGATAAAATAAATGCTGTGAATAATGAAGATTGAAGCTGCATTGCAGTAGTGAGTATCACTGGTAGGGGATCGCTAAACGAAGTTAAATTTTCTATAATCTATGTACTCATATTTTCCGTAACAGAATTTTTCATTTAGTTTATTTACGTGCACAAAATTGTATTCACTTATTATAGCGAATTCAGAGATTAATAACTACAATTCCATAGATATTACAAAATGTAGCATGATGTCAAATTGATAATAAAAGAAAAAACATAAGATTCCCTGGAAAATATAAATCCCAACTTTCGGATATGTCGGATTCCATAAAAGTCCGAGATCTTCACGCGACAATCAAATAACCAGCCGCGCGTTTCATCGCCGCCGATCGTCGAGATTGCGCGTGTCCGTTTTACGACTCGGGGTGGCGGCGCGGCCGCCTCGAAATTTTCAATCCCGGCAAGGGGGACCTCCCGTGTGTTTCGTGAAAATTTTATGCGCGACAAACGCGTCGGATGATCCGATGCATGCCCGATCACGGATTCCGGTCCGTATCGTTTCTTATTCCATGGATACGATCGGCGGGATCGTAAACCGTCGCCGGAAGAGGCTGCTCGACTTAATGTCTCCGACATGTACATAGACATATTCTTATGTACGCGCGCTTATGTATATGAGTTTTAGGAGGGAAGTTCGCAAGTCGTTTCGTGCAACTTCTTTGCCGTTCGAATGAAGACGTTAAGTAGCGAAACGGTCGAAAACTCGTCGGACATCGTCAGACTCGTTCCTATGGTTATTTCAGTTACGCAGGTGGCTAATAAATTATTAATATTACCGGGATAAATTGAATTTCTTCAACGACATACACGAGTATCTACAACATTTTATGCACTTAGAACTTTTATTATATAAATTTAATTTCGACTGCATAAAGAGTGGCATAAATAAAATTAGACATGTATTGAGATGCGTATACTGATTTTATATAACATGAACGGTATCGGTTGCGTCCACAGATGCTGTCGGTGAGCCCAGGAATGGAGGTAGGCAGCGGTGGTCATGGCGGCCTCGGTAGCGGAGGGCTAGAGGGTGATCCGAGCGGTGGCGGCGCCGTGGTGGGCGTCGGGGGCGGTGGCGGCGGCGAAGGAGCCACCGAGGGGGTGCAGGAAGCGATGGTCGCCGCAGCCAGGGATCGTGCAATCCGGGCCGGAAGCGTCCGGCAGGATCTCGCCCTTGACCTACCTCCGCGGCTCCAGCTTCCGGACGGCGAGGAACGTCCGTACGGAGCGCACACCGCCCTTCACCTGCGCGACCCGGACCAGGTGAGCCTCGTTTCGAATATTTAACGGGGAGGGTTATTGTACCGTGGCTACTATATTATTCCTGGAGCTAGTTCCCCGAGCCGGACCGACCGGATGAGCTGTATAACTTTAGAGTTAGTTTGTATTATGTATTATGTACACTGTTTACGTTGAAAACTTGGAGATAATAGTTAATGCTGATCAATCTCATATTTTCGTCTTGGAGTTGTTATAATTTGTGCGCAATCTTAACTTATGCCAGGTTGCCAGTTTAATGATTTTATTAACACAACAATCGCTTACTCGATCAATAAAGTGAATCGTTATCCAGCCGTGTATTCATCCTCGGGTCAAAGTCAAACCCGAAGAGAACACACAAAGATTTTCCGCTAAATAGGAACGGAAATCTCGTGAACGTAATATCGGACTAACGTTATTCGGATTGCCTGATAGCATTTAATATCAGCATATTAATGGCGTTAAGTAGGATAGAGGTGAAAAGTGTGCAATTTCAACCAGAAGTTTTCCGGTCGCGTTAGTAGGTCCCTAATAACCGTATGCATATGGTGAGAATCGCGCAAGCCGGGGGTAATAACGCGTGTAAAAACGGATAAATTTTCCACGCTTCGTGCCCTCTGATAAAATCGCGTTCCCTCGGTTTGGTGGGTTCTCCTCTGGGCTAGTCGCTCAACTGGCTCGAAACGGCTCGGAGCGATTCGCAGACATTTATATACAGGACTTCGCGAACACGCGCACCGATCCTTATTGGGGTTCATTCTGTAAATATCGTAGATCGCAAACGACTATCATTATGGAGAGCATGGTAATTAGCTCGGATGATTATGATGTTTCAAAATTATTTATGACGCACGAAGGCGTAACTGAAGGACATAAATTTGTTCGTTAAGGGAAGCTGCGGTTGAAAAATATTGTACGGATAATTTTTATTTATTTCTGAAGATATCAATGAAGCCAATAGAGAAACGAAATCCTAAACGTCCTATTGCCGATTTCTGAGGCGCCCTAATCAGTAACCCGGTAACCGGAAATATCGTGCGTTCCGTGAGGCTCGCAGACGATCGAGTGACCGTGGGTCTTGTGCCATTTTCGCCGAAGGTCGCCGAGACCCTGCCGTAGGCCACGGAGAAGGCGGAGGAGATCGAGTTTGTACCCTTGCCGAGGCTTCTGGATGCCGGCATCGAGCTAGAACACACGCGCCCTCGGCGCTGCTTCTCTCTCTCTCTCGAGGGTCACGGGTTAGAATTTCAGTAATTCTACGCCCCTACACGTGTACTCTGTCGACCCGCCCGCCCGTCGTCGTCGCGCCTGCTTCCTGGCAAAAAAAAATATTTTTCCCTTCGACTTCCCTTTGAATTTTACAGGCACAAAAAAATATTCGTTCGTTCTTTTTTTCCCCTCGTCTCCCATTCTTTCGGAACCACGCCTCTGTGAAGTTATTTTTTAATTCCATTCGACTCGTGACCCGTGTCGGTCTCTTGTGATCGCGATGGGGGCATCGATATTCTGATAGATTAACCGGTGTTACCAGTTGCGAACGATAGGCAGAGACGTAATCGATTTTCGATTTTTGGCGAGCAGCCGTGATATAATCGTGCACCGTTCGTGTATCTACAGCGGCGCTTCCGATGACGCGAGATGTTGAAGGGTTGTTCGCTATACTCTTTTCACACACTCCACTCGCGAGCCACTTTTTCGGAAATCGAATGTAAATTTTTTTTGTACATGTTTGTTTCGTACAAACTTTGTGCATTTGTTACTAAGAAATGAAGTGATCTATTGTCAATTCTATATTATTATCTCACGTCAGTTTATTAACACGACCGTCGTCTCTTACAATAATTCTATTACCATGCAACAGCAACAAAAATCGCGGTACCTATTAGACATTCAACTTGAAGTATACATATGAGTTCGACTAAAATCTGGCATTTGAATTTCAGGAGAGCGAGATATACCGGAAGTGCGTTCGACCACCACCGAACAGGACAGTGTTCGACAGCGAGAGTCCCCCGCCGTATCGAAGCCAGTCGGCGCTGTTGGAAGCCAGTCGGAGCGAATAGTCCGGTGCCACAGTGCGGGCAGTTCCCTGTTGAGGGTGTTCCGGAAGTTCCCAAGTCCAAGCAGCTCGACGCCGGCGGAGGTCGTGCCGCTGAGAAGACCGACCCTGTCCAGTTATTCCGAGTCCAGTAGCAATCTGAGCAACCTGTCCAGTTTGACGGTGGTGCCGTGCGAGGCGGACGAGAGCCAGCAGCAGCAACACCATCAGCATCAGCAGTAACATCAGCAGCAACATGTCTGATCCGAGGCACGGCCGAGAAGGAGAGCACTCGAGGCCAGCACCGCAATCGCGTCGAGGAGGAGCGAGTTCCTCGAGGTCGACGGACGAGCGACGAGCTCGTGGAAGCGGAGACGAGCCGTTCCCATTGAACCGTTGGAGCGACGGGAACACGCGAAGATGGACGACGAACGACGACTTTTGGTCGAACCGGAGAAGGACACTGAGATCTGTGCGCTTGTTCTGCCTTCCTCCTCGAGAATCCTCGACCCGTCGAGGATCCCTCAAGACTGACTCGCAGGAGAAACTTCGTTCGGCTAAGCTGACTTTCAGCCTCGTTAACGCACGGACGGGCGCGCTTGGATGTAAGGTGTGCGCGCGTACGAAGAATCTCGCTAAAATATACACAATCACGCTCACGCTCGCACTAGCACGTACCGAGAGGAGAGAATTCGGGGAATGGTCCTCCTCCTTCATCATCGCTATCTCCCTTCTGTTGCTATTGTTCCTTCTTCGGACTCCGGTGGATGGTCCTTCGGCTGGTTTTCGGGAACAGAGAGGAGCATCCTCGCCCGGAGGCTGATCGTTGAGCGATACGGACAGAAGCGTGGAGAGGAGACAAAGAGAGAAATTCAGAACTGCGTTCGTGGGTCGGTTCTCTTCAGTGGCAATCTTAAGAGGCCAGTCTCTAGCCTAGATCTCAGACGATTCCAAAGCACGATACCACGACGGTGGTAATATGTGATCGAACGGGACGGTGTGTAACAAATCCAGGCACTAGGAGAATCAAAGACGAGTGTGTTCAATGAAATAACGATAAGAAGGGCCTACGAGATAAACAAAATCGCGGAGAGGGGGATTGGAGGAGGCACCATTCACAAAGCAGTCCGAGATTGATGAGTTGAAAACTTTTAATCCTCTGGGCGAGAGATCGTACGATGCAGCATGCGTCGATAATTAAAGCAAGAGTGATAACGAAGATGCTGGGACACGGGAAACAGTGATCGAGAGGATGTCGAGGAAACAGAGTGTACGCTACCGCCCGTTCGCTGCCAATCGACAAACAAAACGCAAACACACCGACGGGACGATCGAATGATCACCGAGTATATATGTATATGTATATGTACATGTATATGTATATCGTTTTTTTGGAAGTTTGTTCGCTGCGAAAAAGACTTAGTAAATTATTTATTGGCGATAAGTTTTGCGGGCCGTGAAAAGGGAATGATGTGTCCTTAGGCGCACGACGAAACGCGGAACAGAAGCGAAGAAGAGCGCCACACACACATACACACACGCTATAGAATAAAATATGAATGTATCCGCGTGCGAATGATATTGCGTCTCGTTTATATGTAAGTGTACATGCGTGAATGATGCTTGGTACAAGGTCCAGCTGAAAAAGCGTGGAAGACGGCAAGATGAAGGGACGGAAGTGATAGCGAATACAGAAAAAAATAGTACTGGGAAGAGAGATATCATTGTGGTATGCGACACGAGGGGTGAAAATAAGAGGGACTTTTTGAATGAACGACGATGTGTACGAATGGGAGAGAGTGAGCGAGCGAGCGCGCGACAGATGAAAAGTAGTGCCAAGAGCGTAATAAAAAAAGAAACAAGAAGATGAAAAACTCTGTACATATTAGGTTAGGTAGTTCAATATCAATATAATTATTATGACTAAAAATGATATGCTCTATATACTTGATTAAAAAAGTAATAAACCTTACACCACGCATAAACACGAATTCGACGGGCCGTACGAAATCGTTCTGGGACGCGCGTAAGCGCTTTTCCGACGCGAGGCCTCCTTGATAATTCCAAACGAACAAAAATGAACGAAATATCGTTCCAAGCGTCGCGATCGATCGATCGATTTTCAAAATAAAAAGAATGTTTCATTATCTAAAGTGAAAAAACACATGAATATATATATATATATATCAATTAGTTTCGGGGGAGGACTGTCTGGTTTTAATAGATACTATAATAGAAAATACAGTCTAGATGGATTAGGTCGTTTCTACTGAATATCTGTTTTTCCCTTCGTCGAAGAAGAACAGACTGCCCTTGCATGAGAGAGCAAGGGCGGCTCAATATTCACGTTTTAGTGATTGCTAACAAGTCGAAGGTCGAAGTTAGTAAGTGGGACGATCGAGTCGAATGAAAGAAAAGATAGAGATCGATCGGTCGAAGCGTCGCGACGCGCGTCTCGCCGTGTTTCGAATGGCTCGCACGATGTCTGATTATAACGCTACTTTATTATTATTCAGATAGATAAGGCTTCAGTTTTCTGATGAATAAAAGAAAAAGTAATAGGACGAGATCTGCCTTGACGACGAACTGAGAGTCGACGACCGGCTTCGTTTTCCCGTTTTTTCGAAAACAATCTACATGCAAAAGAAAAGTGATCGTTTCCGTTCACGCTGCTGTGGAGATTCCTGGAGAAGTTAGAGTTTATGATAACTCTTTTAGATTTAGATATGCCTACGGTTGTTGGGTATATCGTTAGGCGGTACTATATTAATTGGGTGTACCATCGGGTACACCATCGAACAGTGTTCCTGAGAACTTTTTTCTCGAATGAAAATGAAACGCGGAAAGTTTGGTAAAGGGAAATGATAAATTATTTTCTAATGCCCTTGGTACCTGCTAGTACCAAATAGATTCTATCGATTTGAGCCGGGTCAGCATCGAATGCTTCAACATTTTTTACTCGATAGCCATGACATTGTTAATTTAAGATAGGCTTTCGTACGGGATGCGTGGTACGGAAGCGGAAACTGGGAGATGGAGAGAGAACTCCTTTGAGGAGTTTGGGATTAGTGCTTTCCTGATTGAAAGAGATTCAAGCGTAATTTTTTATAACAGTGATATTTTTCCTGACTAAGCGACGAAGGGGACAAAATGAAATACGTAAAATATTGAGAGAAAATAGTATTTTTATTGAGAAGAAAAATCGAATCTTTCAAACGTAGACGTCACGCGTCAGCTACGATAATTTCGCTTATAAAGTACGATCACCAGAAAGGCCTTCGACACCTCGATAAAGTACAATCTTCTTACCAAATACAAAAATATCGAACCTCCACAGCAGTTTCACGGAGCTACATCCGATCGTAAAATTTCCGATACATCCGTTAACTCGTTTTCCGTTAATGCCACGGTCAATTGATTTTCCAAGATGATTTCTCAAAGAATCGCGTAACGAGCATAAATGGCGGGTATCGACTTCGGTTCTCGACCTCGGAACAGAGCGAAACTACTGAAATATCTCATGAGAAGTCACCAATTATTGTAATTCTTGAAAAAGAAAACCGTAAACCGACGAAGGGGGTTCAGTCGCAAATTAATTTCAGCCATCCCTTTCGATGTACGTAACGCGTGAAACACGGAGTCACCTGCTTACGAAATTAAAAGTATTCCTAGGAACCCATCACGACGGAATCTACTATTTCCATTAACGTTCGTTTACAGAATTCTGTCGAGATTGAAAGAATCCCAATTGACTACGTGCTTTCGCTCGGAGCGTGGGTTGAAAGAAGTACCATTGAATAGACACGTTTTTGGCGTCGAATATATGTGTAAAAACTAACCAATGCCGATAAAAAAAAAGAGAAAGAAAGTACAGTGCTGTACGAGTATGCGTGTAATCGTGTGTTTACACGCGCGTACACGTGTACAGAGAGCACACGCAAGTTGTTTCATCGAATAATACTTGTCCGGGCAGTTCTACACACACGACACTGTGTACGGCGAATAAGCTCTTTTCAATCGTTAATAATGTGTTCACGCGCATGCAATATTAGGTGATGAGGATTAATCGTATTTCTCTATATGAAGAAAAGAAGAAACGAGATAGAGAAACAGAGCGAGGTGTTCGAGGAAGAAAGGCAAAGAAATGTGGGTAACGAACAATAGGGGATTAACGAGAGAAAGAGGATACGGTCCCTTGCGATTGAATGAGAGAGCAATCGACGAGAAGAGACAAAGATGATTCGTATGTGCGTCGTGGGTGCATGGGTGCATGATGGAGCGAGAGAGGGAGAGAGAGAGAGAACGAACGCGCGAAACAGAATACGAAAGGTATGACTAAATGGAAAAGGAAAAAAAAAACGAAAAAAAATATGGGTCTTGTGCAAGCCTCGGTTAAATTAAAGAGAAAAAAGAAACTGTTATCGACTTAGATCGAATTTTTTAAGAGCCGTCGCCGGGACCGGAACATCTTATTAGAGGAAAAGAAAATAAATGTTCGCGCGAAGTCATTTGTGATTTTAATGTTCCGCGTTCAACGGCGATGGCCATTAATGAATTTCTTAGCGAGTACGATTTTTAATAAATAATTCGCGGTGTCTTTTCGACGACGATTGCGACGCTCTAGCTTTCTTTGGACGAGCCGGTCAGAGCGACGAGATCAATCACTAAGTCTTTCTATCGGTAATTACGGAACGAGAAGTGGGACGGCTCCCCCTTGGCAAAATTAAGCAAATTGTTTGCGTTGTAAATTTGACACGACAAGTAGACGCTCGATAGCTATCCAATTGAAATTCCACAACCATCGATTAATATAATGTTCAAAAAAATATTCGATGGTCGTGTCGTTCCGATAATATCGGTTAGGATTAATTATACCTTAATAGAAAAGGATTTATTAATAAATTGATTAGCAAAGATTTGTTTCTTCCTTCTTGATAGTATCAAAATTGATATTATCAAAGACGAGCTTGATTCGAGCGACTCGATCACGGAATCGATCGGAGTGTCTGAATTCGTTCCGTTGATTAAATATCGTCGTAGATCTGACCGCTTTCGGTCCATCTAGTCATGCTCAGCCGCGCGTCCCGTCTAAACGATGAAATCGATCGGCCGTTTCATCAATTATTATCGTCGATTCCCAACAAGCGGATCGATTTCGTAGGCGCGATTGTGATTTGAAACGAGGTGTTCCAAAATTCGCGGTCCATTCGTGGCCGAAAAATTTCTACGCGAAACTCGACGTTTGCTATTGACGAAGTTGTAATGATTGTCGTATTGTCTATAAGATTGGTGTGTCTAGTCCTCCACGGCAATGAGGATCCGTTTCGATGTCGTCTCGTTGCTCCATCCTTATTCGGGGCAAACAAATTTTATTGTTTCGTCGGCTCCTGATGGAACAACGAGATCGCCATACGATGTTCAGGAGCCCATCAGCTGTGGTAATATAAATTATGTTCTCTTTTTCACTTGTTTATGTTGTTAGACAACTGAAAAAAGTAAAATACGTTAGGTCAAGAATACGGGGAAGCGGAAAAAGAAATGAATCAATGCACAGACCCGCAGACTGATATGGATGCAAATCTAACAATCAAAATTTTAGACCGTTTCGTAGTTCCTCGGAGGCACAGTGTTTAACTGAATGATCTTCTGGTACCGGTTTCGATGGGAACGAACGAACGATCTTGGAAGAAGATAGAGAGACTCGGGTGCACCGAGAGAAAACGGCAGGGATGCGTGAGTGAGTGCGTGAGTGGAACGAGAGAATGGGGGCGAGAGATTAAAGAAGAAAACAAAAAGACGTGTATTAACGGGAATAAAGAACCACTCGACAAACGTATGTCATTCGAGTCGAATTCAATCATCGTTTCGTTGTCGTCGTGATGTACGAGCAGGGGCGAAGAAACAGAGATGTAATAAGAAAATTTGAGCGAGCGAGAATTCGGACAAACTTTTTTCAAGGTAATCGATCGATGTTGTAGAAACAGTGTCATTTAAAGTAGTAGATCGCTTCTACCAAAAATTAAAGAGAACAAATTTACAAGTCGTCTCGAGAAAGAGAGAAACGGTTCACGAAATTCGGAAGTCGCGCGGAGTAAATGCCCTAAAGTGGTGCAAGATTCGGAGAAAGAAAAACGCGCGGGTGGGTCCTTTCGACTTTTGCTCGATCGCGGCTTCTCTTCATCCATTTTTCGTCATTTACTCTCACCCGGTCGTGCAACGAATCTCGCATTATCCTCCGACGTGATACGCGACTCGCGGCCGAGATAAATGGTTTTTTATACAGTAGAATTGTACCAATCATACCACATAGGAAAGAATAAGGAAAAAAAAACATGATGTTCGTTGTTCACTGCTCTGGCTTGTTAGAAACAGCAAAACACAATAACTCGGGCCTCTCGGAGGCTGTTCGGACCAGGAGAGGCGCGAAAAATGATTAATGAGAAAAAGACTGTTGACCAATGATCGAGCGTAAATTCAATTTGGAAAGAACTTGCTCCGGACAGTCCCCTTCGTGCCCCTTGTATGAATCGGCAACATTTCGACATTGCAAGATTATTGGTGTACTTATCACGCAGTTTTCTACAAAATAAAGAAAACGATTTTGAAAAAAAAATTATATGGCCACGAAGTTATTCTCCTCGCAACGTTTCCATTCTCGTATCCATACATTCGTTTCATTACAAATGATTATTTCCATCCCTTAAACTGTTTTATCAGTTCAGTTTTCTCAAGAACTTAGGGGTGCAGTAAGAGGTCGCGCCACAAGTACGAACAGGCATCAACCGATACTCTTTGATCCTACTCCAATTTAGATCTCTACGAAAGATCAAGAAGTCACTAAAATTTTCTTTTAATATTTAGTACTACATTTCGTGTACATCATTCTAATGAAAATCAGAACTCGATTGAAACTTTCCACTGGAGGGAAAGACTGGGATACAAGATTAAAGCACTTGTGAGGTAGAATATATTACACCTCGTATTCAAATATTTTCATTGACTTCGTTTCAACAATATCGACATTTTTCAAGACATTTGTTCATTCAAAAGGAAATTGAAATAATCATTTGTACGACGCTAATGTCAAGATTTACAACGCGTTGTTGTGGAGGAATGATCATTATCGATCTGAAGGTAACACGAGGTGAAAGAGGGCAACGTCCTAAGGGAGTACGAAATCCTTTGGAACTTAAAGAACGCGCTGCGTGATGGGCAGCATCTTAACGAAAGTGATGCGATGGAAGGAAGTGGAAGCCACCGGAGGCGGGTGGCGTCGTTTAAATTTGGAGCGATGCGCGTTCGGAAATAGACGGTCTTCTTTCCCTGCCTCACCTTGCGCGTAACGCACGCTATCCTTCTCTTCTCAACCGGTCGTCTCGCACACTCTTTCCGATTTCGTCGATGCTTAAACATCAACTGACCCCCTTACGAGCTCTACACCGGAAATGCCAGCTCATAAAACCGGAAGTATTCTTTAGTCGGCTAATAAATCACGCGTCGAGAATATTTCGGAGACCAATTTACCTACGCTAACTAAAACTATACATCTAATAAAATAAATGTCTCGAAGTCCTTCAACATTTGTTTGAAGATATAGTGAATTTAACTGCTTAATACAGACACAGGACGCTTTAAGCGAAGACGAATCTAGCGAGATTTACTCCGACAGTTCGGAAACGACTTGTCGACGACGATTCAACGAGCAGCCAATGCGTACAACTATGTTTAAAAACGATTTCGAGCAAGGTTCCGCGATGCAAAGGCTCGTTAGCGGATCTGATTTATTTACGGGCTGATATTCTCGAGCCACTTCAAACTACGCGTGGTGCACGATTTGAAAGTAGAAAACCGCGCGGCGGATGGGACGCACGTTCAAACGAAACCTTCCGGCAGAATTTTCCTCGCGCGTCGCTCAACGGATCCGGCGTCGCGACGCCTGTCCGCCACGATATTCCAATTTCCTGATGTTCCTTTTCCGTACCGAATTTAGTTACTCGTTTATATCCTCTAACAATAAGAAACTTACGAGTTGCAATTAAATGCTTATTAGACGTCCTGGAATTGTTGTTCAGTTCACAGAAAGCAATAATTGTGGTATTTTAATTTTCAAGTAATGTCCATTTGAAAACCTGGTAGTAAAACGAGGTTATTATTTTCTTGTCAGTTAACGTCTCATGCCGAGCATAAAATGGTTTGAAAATAGAGAGTAAAGAAACTTCAGAGAACATATAATGTCCAACACAGCTTGTGTAATTTCTTGATCTGAATTCTTGAATCGTATACGTGACGCAATTTTGGACGGTGTCACCGATTTGGTGAGCAGGAGGATCGATCGATCGGAAGTCGTAATCCGGGAACGGAGCGCATACAGTTTTTTTTCGTCCGGTATTCGGATGAGGAGGGTTTTGGATTTATGCATTCGTATAATTGGCCAGATGGCTCCCAGTTTTATTTCGGTGACACTAAAATATTACGGTATCCGCTTCCCCGTGTCATTCCATGTCTATTTTTAATCAGCAGAAGCTTCTAGGGTGCGTTTCGCTTCTTCCAACATTCCACTCACCGTGAAAATTTTCTTCTTTCCATAGTCCTATACGCAATACAGTCATTCAGTTAGCGGTCAGTCCAAAGGGAAAACGAAGCAGCCACGGATATGGGATAAAACTTCATTAAATGATTATAATGCCTACTTCTGATCCTTTCACTTAATTTATACTATCGATAAAGGTTTCTCCAGACTCTAAACTCTTCCAATATCATATAAAATAATGTAGACTTTAAATGCAAATGTAAATGAAACGTCTGGTAATGAAATAATAAACTTATACTAGTTCCTCCTGGCGTGTGTTTATGAAATAAAATCTAATGGCACCGAAGAAATTCTAAGATAGGAGAAAAGTAGATCTCGCGTGTTGTTTCAACGATCTTCAAACGTACCGCCGCCATCCTGTCGATAATTAAAACATACTGGGATCTTTTTTCTTCGCGACGGGAAATGAAAAGCTGTGATGGTTCCCGCCTATTAATATCGGGAGCATATTTCAATTAATCCAAATAAATCGGTACGTGTCGCGACGGCCGATGTAAGCGCGCGCGCGTGCGTCGGAACGAAGAAGAAGAAGAAGAAAGAAAAAAAGATCGGGCGTCGTGGCGCTTGCGCGAGGGGCGTCGCGACGACCGCCGACGCCTTCTTGAATGAAACCGTCGCGCAGTCAGTTCGCATCAAGGCGTCCACCCTCGCTTTGGCTCTTTCATGGATTTTCGAAATCGTCCGCAATCCGTCGACCAATGGCAAGTGATATTCCAAGGTGATAAATCATTCCACCGCTTCCTACTCGACCGTCAAATCGACTCAGGTACAATTTTACGACTTTTCTAATTAGAGTGGAGGATCGAATTTCCGCTCGATCCTTTCAAATCGTTTCCGACCCTCGCACGATTCGCACTTTCAAGCAACAGTTGAGTCATCATTGCCGTTGGTCATAATTGACATAATTAACATTGGATTGGAATGTGAAATTTAATGTAAGCAATTGATTTTTGGAAAAATTGTTGAAGAACGCTGCATAAATTAGGCGCAATAAATCGAACAATCGCCGTTGCAAAGTAACCAATGTCTATATTAATATTTCAATTCCATTTTAATTACGAGCGATGCAACTTTAATTCATCATATTGAATTTTAACATATCAGCAGTCTAAATCTAACACGATAAACTATGTGTCAGTTGCGTGAGTTGATTATGTAGAACGTTCTGAAATCTGCCATTTAAACAGAAACTGGGTAAGGAGGAACGTGTCGTGAAATTGCAATACTTTTCACCGGTTCATGGTGATATATTCAAAGATATTTGTGATGGATGAACGTCGTAAACATGCAAGTCTGAGTTACTTCACAAGAATGTATGAATTGCGCTTATACTAATGGCTTCTTCATTCCAGTCGTTACGTTTGCTTGTCCTATGATTTTATCGCCTGTCGCAGCTTCCCCGAATAATTCACACTGAATTATTCCTCACTCCTGGTTAGGGTGCATCCATCTTTTATCCTCGGACAAAGTCGAAGCCAATGGTCTTTCAGACTTTCGTCGTTCCGCCCTACAGATCTTTAAGTCATTGCAGTCGAATACAAGTCTCGTCTCTCACGTTGTTGCGTCTGTCTGAAGTGTATCATCTCGTGTTCTTTCAAGTTTTGAGATTTGGACGCAGTCAAAGAGACCCAATTTGTCAGACTAACTGAGTTATGGATGATGGCCATTTGGAATATTAAGCTTTTGCCAGGGAAAAGGGTGCTTGCTGGATGGCTCAATTGGTCAGAGCAATCCTTGTCGTCTTCTATATTTAGCTAAGATTCCATCAGAATACGGATACTTAGCTCGGCGTTGGGAAGTTTAATATCCCTTTATTTCTCCATTTATCTCGACGAAATTTCCTCGGTACTTTGAACTAATGGGAGAACGAGCACTTATAGAAATAAGACGGTTTACATCAGTAATTCCCGGCTACCCTAACATATCGCCTTACCTGTTTAATTGTCATTAACAGCCATTTGTTACTAATCATATTTCGCTCCGAGTTTGTAGATATGAAATGTTTCGCGGGGTTGTTTATTCAAGCTTTATTTCGGGCGGTTCGAAAACCGGGAAAAAAATGATCTAAATGACTAGAACGCTCGGACCAGGCCTATCTGGATATTTTCTTTTCGAACGATCGCGTTGAGCGTATTTGCGATTTTCGCGGCGCCAACTCAAACAAACCTGGCGTCGTGGCTGCAAGGAGTAGCGTAACTGGCGAATCGGGAAAGAACAAACAATTTCAGAGTTCCTGGAAACTAAGGGACGAAGCATCTTTTACTCTACTTTGAAGTTCTTTCTTTAAACAATTTTCCCACAATTAGAAAAGATTATTAAGATCTCTTTGGGACTGGATATTATTGTATAGCCTAGCATTACTATAGCGAATACACCCTTTTTCTTAATGACAAACTATGCGCCAAATATATCTTAATCTTGAACCACAGAGCGCATATTTAACGAAACGTTATGTTCGAGCCAATTTGGTGACCTAATTAGATCAGCAATCATTTTATGTGAGAAATTCGATTCTATGCTAGATTTGAATTAATGGCAAACCTAGAAAATACCAAGCTAACTTTAGCACACTATAAAGACACTAATAATAAAACTAAAATCAAGTTCCCATAGGTTTCATTACTCACTTTTCAGTTAACTCAGATCTAGCTACTACATTGTTCGCTCAATTATTATTTGGTTGGGAGCAACCGTAATGAAATACCTAATTAACTCGGGTGTGACGCGGAT